TGTGTGTGTGTGTGTCTGTGTCTGTGTGTATACGAATATATGCAAACCTGTGCAACATGCGTTTTGCATCTCATAGTGCGATGTCAAAGTGCTAATTATGACCGCCACTCAACTCCATATCAATTAAACTGGTTGAGTGCTTGTCATCAGCAAATCATCATAGTGCGACGATTACACACAATGCAAACCACCAATGGGCAAAAGCCGCTTATTCTCTCGCTTTACAAATACTTCTATCCGATTTTATAGTTCTGAAGAAGGATCGAGCTTTTCCTCTCGAAAAAACTGCTTTTGCGCCATTTTATGCACATTACCGTCTCGTACGCACATACTCTTTAGGGCCAACTTTAGAGCTTCTGAGAAAAGATCGAGCCATGCATGAGAGAGAGTGCCCATACAGGCCTGTGGCATGTCCCAATGGGTGTGAAGCCCATCTACTCGAGAACAATTTACAGGTACGGTGATAGTCGTGGGTGACCATGTACGTCTTGTGATGGATCGCCTTATATTACATGGATGTTTAGATATCTCATTTCTTCTCTTGTCTGTGCGAGTGTATAAATTTTAACGCATTCAAGTTCCGATATGTGAGTTGTTCCTAGTTGTATTCAATCAATGTTAATCATATCACTTCCGCATTTGCTTTTCATGCTCCCCTGGTAGGCTCACTTATTTGTTTGGATCTTCTCTAATCTTATAAGCACTAATGTGAGTTTATGTAATACCGACCAAACACCGGCATACTGTAACTGATTTTAAAACTCATTATTCTATTAGAAGCTTAATGCACTGCGATATGATACACGCTCATTCGGTGTGGTGTAATGGGAAAATAGAGGTCGCCATCAAGCCATACGAACAACTATTACTGTGAGCTATCGTTAATCTGAATGCTTTACCTAAACGCTGCGGTTCGGGACCGGTTACAGTCCCAGTGGGACACCAACACACTCATTGTCCCTTTGGTGTGACTCGGAATGCGGTCGGCGTAAACCACACCCACTCTCGGGATATCCCAGTCCGTTTCTCTCCTTTCTGTAATCGACCTACTTATGCCCTCCGATTGTGATTGGTCAAGCAGTCTCATTTGAAGATATGCAGCAACGCCCTTGTCAGGTGTGATCTGGAATGTGGGGTCAGTATCAAACGGCACGAACACGCCAAACACCAGGCCAACCACTGCCCCAACTTTGTGACGGAGTGCTGTGTAGATGACTGTCGCACTAAGGTACAGTGGATGACTAGGGCTGAATTCGCTATATATTTGCAAGCTGGGTGTAATGTCAGATTGGAGACCTGGTCCTATATCTGGATGTGGTACGTGTTTATTCGGGATTGGGATTCCCTGCATTCGGCACACGCAATCAGATATTTTTATCTACGTTTTATATGAAGCCTTTGGCCTTTCTCCGAAGGTATTGGCACCTTCATTCCGATTGGTTTGTTACTTTTCTTTCGGGTGGGCTCAACCAGCAGCACGTGGACAGTGTATGATACCTTTCTGGCTCGATCTTCTTAGTATTGATTTTACTTGATCCGATTTTGTGTGTATGGTTATGTTTGTAGACTTCCCATATATTCTATTGTAGTTTATATCCTTGTCTTGAAGATGCGATCGCAAGTTTGTGGTGAACTGCTCAGCGGACGCTTGTTGTACTAATAGCTTGGACTCAAAACACGACCAAGTCTCCACTGGTACTATGTCTTATTGCAAACCGAGTAATCCGGCATCCAAGGAGAATGTAGGAGCAATTGTAGTGCATTGGGTACTCTGGTCATTATAATTTACGATTTTAAGAGCTTCTCAAATGGTGTACTATGTTCTGTATACTTTAAGATTTTAAGAGCTTCTCAAAGATTACGAATAAGCCACGCACGTTCTAGTGAGACAAACTACATGCACACATATTCATATAACATACACTTTTTTCGCGCAGGTGTTAAGGTGGCGGTTACAAGACCACATGAACAAGCACGTGTCTGAACTTCATCACTCAGCCAATGAAAATGCAGCGAATTTACGACGCGCAATGACGTCGGTGGCACAGCGCTTCGGCAAAGTCAACCACAGCACCAATGAGATGCGATTGCAGCACGACTTGTCAGATATTGCACTGAATGAGTTCTGGGAGGTATGTTTGTTCATATATATATTGTTTACGTTATTACTACGCATATTTGTTGATCCAGCATATTTGTTGTTCATGTAGTATTTCTGATAGCATTTTATATATTTGACAGTTCACTGACTGTCCACCTATTATCTTTCTCATGATTTCCGATCGGACCTAAACGATATTCTTGTCCAAATACCACTGGTTTTTCGTCATACCAAATAATTTGAATATGTACGAGTTCGTAGTTCTCCTGCGTATACTCTCAGAATATACCGTAGTCAATCTTCCGGCTCTTTTTCTTTTCTAATCGATAGTTCCCCTGTGCTGCAGCGCCGGTCAACGATACAAGGATTCTCCACGCCCATGTCGCCGTTCGTGGCTACCGTGTACTTATTAAGCACGTGGTACTTAGGTGTGTGAGTCGGAAAGTGTATCTGCTTATCCATTTGACTGTTGTGATAGTGTATGTGTGTGTGTACGCTAGTCTGTAAACGTACTCAAGCGTTTGTTGGTGTTAACATATGTGAACGTACCAAAATTGTTTCTTGGTGTTGATGGTTCACTGCACCTTTGTCGCCGTCTGTGGCTGGTCCGCTACTGTTCTTGTCGACTGTAGCTATAACGTACAATTCCAAACTTGAAAAAACAAAAAGTCCGAAGGGCTTTCTCCATTGGGTGATAGAACAAAAACAGGCCCTTCCCGTATCATTAAAAACGTTTCATGCATTGGCTTAGGTGTGCTGGCTGTGTTTCCTACGTTTACGTCACACACTTACTGAACGTGTGGTTCTTAATTATCCCGGAAAGGTATTATCGGAACCGTCGTTATCTGTGTCTGTTCGTGCCTGCGCATGTGTTCGTTGGTTTTGTTCCACCTTTCGTATCGTTGTTGTCGCCTTTATATTATATGCACATGAACTTTGATTATGGGCCACAGTTTGTCCCTGTCTGTGTGCATATATTTTCTCGCAAGTATGCCCATCTTTCCAATCTTTTTTTTTAGGCTTTTGCAGAACTTTTCTCGTACTCTCAGCGGTATACCTCCAATTCCAAAACTCGATTAACAGACATGTTATATCGAACGGTACTCCACTTTTTGTTTATGGATGTAATTTTGGGCTCAAAAATTCCTGATTTCTTTCCACAGATATCGTCTCATACCAAACTGGATTCCTGATTGTGGCAATGATTGTGATATTTGAGCTGAAAATGCGCGACACCTGGAAGACGCTGGTAGCGGCATCAACCGCCAAATCGATACCAATGCAAATACAATCCTTCCGAGAACATGTGGAGAAGGTGAGGGGTATATATAATAAATTTATATATATATATATATAGATATATATATATATATATATCTATATATATATTTTAAAATATATATCTATATGTATGTATGTATGCATGTATGTATGTATGTATGTATGTATGTATATATATATATATATATATATATATATATATATATATATATACATATATATATATATATATATATATGTATGTAATTTAATATATGTTTATTATCCGACTTTGACGACACCGATGGCTGTCGCCACAACCAAATGAAACCACTATAAATCGTATGCCCTTTAAGGCAGTCGAGTGGAAGCTGAAGCAATATGTACGTCAACAGATATGTACTTGTTTGTGCATTTATGTAAGATAGGTAGGCATCAATTTAGCGTGCTTGTCTATAGACTGAACGATGGCCGTCGTCATATGTATGATATGCCACTGCCTTCACTCTGTCACCTACGCTAAAATAATTAGACTGTAGTGCAGGTCTTTAGAGTATCATTTTTTTATCGCTTGCACGTATCGGTATCAATTAGAAATCGTCATCCGGTCTATTGCATTTTAATATTCACTAGTTTTTCTCGTCTCATCTCGCGGTGAACGGAACTCGTCTTCAAATTCCATCGCGGGCGGATACAAGTGTCAATTTGAAGCAGCCATCTGTGCATTACAATCCTCAAAGCGTATTTTATCATGTGATATTACAGTGGGTTAGTTTATTTCCTCATCTGGTATTGATTGTTGCTCCGTCGCTCAGGGTGAACGATACACGTCTGCGCTCTTTATTGCCGATGGATATCAGTGCCAATTAGAAGTGGTGGCGGTTGTCGCGGCGAAAGGCAAAGGGACTGACAGGAGGCTTGTGGTCAGATTAAACGTTTTCAGTGGTATGTGTGATGAAGAAGTATTCCGTGCTGTATGTGACTGATTGTTCAAGCATTGTGTACGTGTGTATAACGAAATGATTGCTTTCCTCAATTTTGAATTTACCTACTTTAGCATGCAGTCACATTTAATACACAATTTAGCTACACTCAGAAGCCTCACAAGTACCGGTCAAACGTCCCTTGGAATTTATCGCCAAAAGGCAGAATGTCAGAAGTAGGTCAGTTTACCTACATTAGCATACAGTCACACTCAATACACAATTTCGATACATTTGGAAGCCTCATAAGTACCTGTCAATCGTCTCATGAAATATATCGCCCAAAGGCAGAATGTCAGAAGAAGGTCAATTTAACTACATTAGCATACAGTCACACTCAATACACAATTTGGATACACTCAGAAGCCTCATAAGTACCTGTCAAACGTCTCTTGAAATATATCGCCCAAAGGTAGAATGTCAGAAGTAGGTCAAGGTCAAATTACCTACATTAGCATACAGTCACACTCAATACAATTTAGATACACTCAGAAGCCTCACAAGTACCGGTCAAACGTCCCTTCATTTGCATACAGTCACACTCAATACACAATTTAGATACACTCAGAAGCCCAACAAGTACCGGTCAAACGTCCCTTCATTAGCATACAGTCACACTCAATACACAATTTAGATACACTCAGAAGCCTCACAAGTACCGGTCAAACGTCCCTTCATTAGCATATAGTCACATTTAATACACAGTTTAGATACACTCAGAAGCCTCACAAGTACCGGCCAAACGTCCCTTCTCTGTTGCACAGCGGACATTGACGATTGGCTGGTTTGGCCGCCAAAATTCTCGGCGTCCTTGTCGGTTTTAGGGGCCAATGGAGCCAAATCCCGATTCCCGCTGGTGATGGCAAGCGGCCCGAATAATTGGCAACCCACACCAAAAAGTGTGCCCAGGGGTTCATTTAGGACGACCTTAGGTACCGCACAAACTCTGATGAAGAAAGGGTTAGTGGTCAAGGACACCTTATTGGGAGTGTGTCACATAGCGTCGCATACGTAAACTCGGTAGGGTTTATACGTATATATCCGCGATGCGGTATTGGGGCGTGTCAAGAAGCATTGTACACGTATTCTCATGTTGAGCGTACGCGCATGCATCATAAGGATAGCTAACGGGGGATTGATATATACCATCGCAGGGGTAATCAATAGCAGATGTACGTACATCATAAGACAGTCTCGCACACACCATGTAGCCTCTTTGAGATACGTTCTCGATATGCTTGGGTGCTGCACAGGCCCTGTAAAGGACGCTTCTGGCGACTGAGGCCACATTGGTTGGTGTGCGGCTTTGGCATTGCATGGTCAATAGCGGGCATACGTTGGCACGACCCCTTCTTCAATTTGGCTCTAATTGTTAAGCCCAATTGTGATCGCCCACTTTTGAGACGTTTTACCAGTCCCTGCGTGAAGCGAAGGCTGAGTTGAGTATCCATGGAACCAGATAACCTGGAACCCTCACCTTTCTCCACCTCCCCAAGCTTTAAACCGTGTCAAATGAGGAGGGAATGTGCTCGTGTTGGTGATCATAGATATGTCGCGTACGATTGAACGATAAGTATCAAGTAGCACGTGTATTTTATATGCATGAGGAACCCTTACAAGTGAGATGGCATATGCACACATTATGGAGACAGGTCACTAACTTAGGACCGTATAAGGTCCATGCATACATCTGCTCGTAGGGTAAAAACGTGTGTTTCTAGGTGAACGTATATACATATGCTTGCAAATACGCTCTCATTTACACTCAAAAAAAAATCCGGACCAGGGAAGTGTCAAAGCTTAATATATAAAACCATAGCAACGCACGATGGTATTCGATGCGAGTGTAGTGACAGACAGATGAGTCAGCCTTTGGTAGTATGAACGTGAAAGTTAAAAATAAAAGTTAGTGATTCTGAAGGTAGAAAAAGAATGGTTCAGGAATAGTAAACGCGAAAGTGTCCGCAAGGAATTTGTGGTTGCTTCGACTATTAATTAGGTATAACGCTGGCGGCATGATAAAAAATATTCAAAATCATTTGAAGCATACTATCTGAAGCGAAGTTTATTATCCACAATTCGCTGAAGTCAAGTTGGCGCGCCTGTTTATACTAGAGACTCTTGTAGATCGATGTCAAACTAAGACGTTCAAGTATTGTATTTGGCAGCAGAAAACAATCAAGTAGGGCGTAATCTAATAATGCATATTGGCCTACATCTCCATACTGAAGCATTGATCACTAAGCCCGGTCTAGATGTACCAGCCAATCTGTATTAGATTCCGCATTGAGTTCAAATTCTTAGTATAGAAAGTATATCTAGCTTCGACAATGTCAAAAAGTGCACTTTTGCATCGCCAATAGGCTGCATTGAAGAAAACTGCGGTTGTGAACAATCAATATTTAATAGAAAGACGATTGAATACTTATTGTTCCGGTGAATCTCATATTGTGGGCGCATACATATTGAATTGCTGGTAAAAATATACATTGCGACAGTAGTTGTATTTGTGGTTACGATCTATATCTATTATTATTTTCAGCGTAATTTTGTAAGGTGATAAAAGAGACAGGAGTGAAGTTTTCTATTTCTATCCCTGCAATGTGACAGCATGTGACTTAGTTGGTATTGTCTGCTACCAAAGTTGACATTTTGTTTTGCATTTTCTACTAAAGTTTATATTCTATGCAGTGTATCTAATCTACCGAGTTCATTTATGTTTACAAACCGAGTTCTATTGGTCTACTTATTCCATCTTTACAAGTTATAGAATGTCATGAACTGCCCAACCTGGTGGCACCAGCTACTCTCGTTGCTTTGATCTTTGTCGGCACATTCCTTAGTGCCCGATACATCTTCTGGGATTTTGGTTAATTTAGCAAAGCAATTTCCGCCATTGGCGTACGTGTCACACCTGCCAACTTCATCGCCAGCCATACAATTTGTAAGTCCCGTTGATTGATCGTAGAAAGCACGAATATACATGCCCTTGTACTGTGAGGTCGATTCTGGATCCACTCGCAAGCAAATGGCTCCTTTACTACTTAGCGCACAAATTTGGCCACACCGTATTGGACACCCATCACATATAATTTGGCCGATATTTATTTTTCGACGGCTATGGCTTCTATAGCTTATTGCCGATCTCGCTGTAAACATTTTGGGAAAAAATTCTAATTATTTCGTATAGATATGTCAAAAAAAAAATTTTAGAGGGTGATGTATACGCGACTGCACCACACTGAATCATTATTGTTTTTGAAACAAATATTTTTATATATACAAAAGATCTGAATGAGTCGGAGACTCTGACTCTCAGAGTCGTCGTACTCCCTTGAGTCCATTGACTGTCTTCTCAGTTGACTCTTTACCTCTACTCTCTAGCTAGATACATAGTCCCTACTCTAAGTAGTACATACTCTTTCTATCGAGTATCTATTTATTTAGTATTTACGTGACGGTAAATTTTGCTGATTTGCTCATTGCTGTGGCATATTTTGTAAATTTACATAAAATAAGCGACAGGGATTGGCACAATGGCGTTCTATTTATAATTTTATGTACGGAGTTCTCGGATTAATAGATGTTCGAATATGTAGAATACGACTACATATGTATGATTGTATATACTACTTGTAAATATCTGGGTTGGTATACGACAACGACATACACCCATGAAAAAATGTCTTCGCGACATGTATGACATGTCGTCTCGAAATGTGTATGTAGGCTACGAAGTACGGTACATACAGCCACCAGCACACCTGCGGCCTGCCGAGTGCCGACACCATCTCGCGACCGACATGTCCTACAAAAGGTCGCCGCGACATGTTTGACATGTCGTTTGCCTAAATGTCGGCGTCGTTTACCAACCCAGGTAAAAATTATGTATACTGTATATGTAGCAAATTGTAAAGTTATACCGGTAAATACACGACTACGTGTACGGTGTACGTACTACGTAATACCGTATTTACAATAGAACTGAACGCAAGTCTCAATCACAGGGTCACGCTGATATTCTAGGAAGAGAACCTGCGAGGTTTGAGCCCTGACCTTCAGACATGCTAGCAGGGCCGCACCAACACACTGCCTGACTGCAGTCCGAGTCACTCCGAGTCCGAGGCTGTAGGGCTATTTAGTATCTACAGTCTACACTGGCACAGTAGGCCGGAGGGCTATGTGTAGCCAAGAATTTGGATTTGGAATTTATCGCGTGAGACCAGTTCACCAGCAGACGATTGAAGAATTAGTATATATTGCTGTTGACTCACCCGCAAGCATGGCCCTCTGGCCTCTGGGTGAGTCTGGGATTGTCCCTCAGAAATGAATTTCTCTCGTGGCATCTATTTTTTGTCCCGCGAAAATTACTAGCGGCCATGCCTCAAGTCTCAACTGCAATATACTTTGCTAAAAACAAATATGACAAAACGAATACCCATTATTTACCGCATATTAATTGTGCGTGAGCCGTGAGATACTTGGCATTTGTGTTCCCGAACTTCGAGCTGAATGTTAATGATGCCAAGCTGTGAGATTGACAATTACCACTGTATTTCACGCAATGTCATGTCACCATGGTGAATAAGTGAGAACTGGCCACAGGATCTGGTCCGATTAACCAGCACTGATCCGATTGAAAGCCAATACCATGCAGTGTGTATACAGCTAGCAAGTGCACCCACGAGAGGATATTTTACTTCGCATGTGCCCTGATGTCTTCAACGTGACAGTTGTAGTATTTTCGTAGTCGTAGACGTTGTCGTGTCAGTTTCATGTATTCTCGTCAAAACATATTCATGTACATAGCAGCCGAAAAATATTTTCACAGGTTTCATAAATAGTCTTCAAGGCGTAATCGACTATGTAAACTCATTTTCAATCCTGCTGCAAAACAACGACAGAGAAACCCTAATTCTTTAGTTTATTTTAAACTGCAACTATAATGTCGTATGTATACGCGAATTCGATCTATCTGCAAGACTGGTGACGAGGACTCGTATAGTGAAGGGAATAAGTAGGACAGTACCATAGCCTTCTATTATAACAAGAAGGATATGGCGAAGGCTATGGCAGTACATAATTTGCTTATTGTACCACACAGCCACAGGCCCACAGCTGTACAACAAACGTTCACGGTCCGTTACATAAATGACTTTTTTTTTGTTGATATTTGTGTTTATACTTTTTGACAGCTGACACTTCCATCTTGATTCAATGATTGTATACGCAATATTTGAAAACAATCTCTGTCAACTATTTGTACATATGACGCATATTGCCTTATTCATATCCCCAAACTGAATAAGCACACCTTGTGTACATAGGTCGATTAGTAGTTTTAGCACGATTCCTTATGACAGGCACACATTACAAGATATCTGCCGAGCTACTCGCACATGATCAAGATGTGCGAGTGCTGACTGCACTACCGTCGGTTGAAACCTGCGGACCTCGTATTATATCAGGGTCAAGAGACCGCTCGGTGCGACTTTGGACACCTGAATCTGATCCTTTCCACTACACTAATTCATTCCAATATGAAGGGCACTCGCACTTCGTTTCAGCCTTGTGCTATGTTCCGAAAGACGAGGTAAGTATTATTGAACTACAATTAAACACTAAGGAAACTTTGGTTCGACCCTTTCTATTGACCACCGGCGTAAATTGAGAGCTTACAGTTCATGTGCGACTAGTTTGGTGTCGATTGCGTAATTGATCGCGTAGTTGAAAATAAAAGTAATGAGACACGTAAGGTATACACGAATATATATATATATATATATATATATATATATGTGTGTGTGTATGTATGTATGTATGTATGTATGTATGTATGTATGTATGTATGTATGTATGTA